CCACGGTCCCCTGACCTGACAATTTGTGACTTTTTTGTTTTTGGGTTTCGTGAAAGCCCACGTCTACGTAGTTCGCGTGCGCACGATGACGGAACTAAAAGAGCGCATTCTATCCGCCTTCGAGGCGATCACGGACAACATGCGGGAGGCAGCCTTCAGGGATTATGAGCGAAGACTGCATAAGTGCCTCCAAGTTCGAGGTGGACATGTGGACTGAAGACGACGAGAACTGAAGAGCACATATCTATCCATTTTGCACATATGACCAGCGGCTTTGACAACCGCGAAAACCGCGGGCTTCTGCTAACAGGCTCTTTTCAGAGCCATTAGTTGCTGTTTATCTGGAGTTTGCTTTGGAAGCCTCCCGTGTCTCAAAAGTGCGGTCTAAATATCGTCCAAAGTGACGCATTGTGGCTGTTTTCCAACCAAACGCGACAAAAAAAGGTCTCGGAAGCGGCGTCCGAGGATGCAACCGACCAGCGAAAGAAAGCAGACGACACGCAGACGAAATCCGCCGGCAGCAAGATTGACGTCAGCGTTGTCGTTAGGCAACCGCGTTTTCTTTTATTTTTGCTACTTGAAGGTTCGCTATCTCTGTCTGTATTTAATTTCAAGCCAAAGGTAGATTACAAAAAAACTTATGTTCGTGTGAATAAACCACGGTCGACGCGGGCACTTTCGATATTTCTTTAAAAGCAAACTGAAACCAGAGCTCTGACTGAAACTAGAGTGCCTTCATACACACGCGCGCTTTATCTCCCCCATGGCCTTCCAAATTCTCACCAACAACCCTCTATCCGACATTGTGACCCTGCTGTGGACACCAGCCCACACAGGCGTAGGCGCTAATGAGATGGTGCACGATCGTGCTCGCGAACTTATCGACCGAGCCGCCATTTCAACTGCGCCTACACGCGATGCCCCTGCAGGCAAGCCTACCTCCCTCCTGCAATACAGGGATATTACCCTACACTACCGCCTCTTCCGCCGCCAATACCCACCTCCGCACCCCCACCTCTCACAAGAGGCAGCACACATGCTGCGCCTCTTACAAACACACACTTTCCCCCACCGAACACAACTAATACACACTCACACACACCTCTTTACCACCCCCGCCTGTCCTGCCTGCGGGGCACTCGACACTCATTACCATTCCCTTTGCGAATGCCCCGCAGACCCATACCCCCCTCTTCCCTCCCCTCACCTCTGGGAGCAGATGTTGCGCGACCCGGAGGAGTCAGCCCAAGTCCTGCCAAACATCCCCGGCCCTGGCGATCGCGGCGGCCCTCTGGGCCGCCACGACCCCCAATACGTGATCCCGGAAGAATAATAAAGTTTCCTCCTCCTCCTTGCTTGAGTGGTGACATCTCAGTCATTTTCACGCCCAATCGTTTTTTTATGCATTTTGAAGTGCGCCCAATACGGTGTTACTCAGCTCGAGCGTGCAGCTTTGGCTAATGCATAGACGCCATTTTATCGCCCAAGTCACGCACCGAGTGCGCGAGAGTGTCACTCGCTGGCACATTCAGTGCAACAATGGATGTCTTCACCCTGAGACAGACAGACATGTAGGCACCCTAACTGAAACAAGGAGGTAGCGCCATCTATCAATAAGAGCGTCAAACACACCCCGCACTTCGACTTGGTCGTCTGCGTCGCCGCCCGCCGTTGACCCAGGCAAGTTTCTTGGCCTCATTTTTTACAGAAAGAGAACTGCGCTTTATAATTTTACAAGAAAAAACCGACCTGTAAAATACACCTTTGACGAAAAGTTTAGATTGCTACGTGCAAGCGTCGATTTTTACGGTCCATTTTAGATCGAGCCTGGTGGCTTGAGCCACCCTATATATAAAAACGAGTTGTTAGCGCGGTTCGTTTGAATTTTTCCTTTCTTTTTCGTGTGTGAGGAACGAGTGTACTTTTGCAGTAGTGCGGTGTAGGGTGTGTTAATCTGAGTAAGGGTTTTCACCTACCTGGCCTAGCCCCGCACACCACCACATGGGCCCCTTTCAGTACGTGCAAATAAAATTATTGTTATTATTACTAATATTATTATTATTATAACAATCCTGTTTACGGTTCACATGTAGTTTGTGTCAAAACAAAATAATATAGCTTTTTAGTTCGCGTTATTTCGCGATTTTTATGTATCTGCATAAAACCAAACACAGAATTATACACGCTCGACGTTGCACATTCGACATTCCTAACTGTTCCCATCTTTCTAAACGTCCGTGTGTGTCCTAACATCCGAAACCGGCATTTTGAAGGTTACAAACTGCACGTTGCGAATATGGGACGCACACTTTCATGCAAAGCTGACGTCAAGTGAATCAAATCGAAAAACATGCATATTTACAATATTGTTACGCCCTTTCTTTGTCGTCATTCCAAGCGCTTGCGTGCCTAGTTTCCTTTCCTTCCGCTCTCTCGGGGTGGCGGTCTCGTCGTGCGTGTCTAGTTTCCTCCGCCTCCTCGGGGCGGCGATAGTCGTCCGCGCGTATGTATATATAAAACCAGAAAGACAAGTTGCCGTTCTTCATTTTCAATTTCACTTCCCTTGTCGTAATGAGGAGGTCGCTTAATAGTCCGGACTCCCGAAGAGCAACGCGCAAACGAAGAGCAACGGCGAGTGCAGCAACGAGATTGGTGGTGGCGGCGGCGGGAGGCATGTCTGTGTGCGTACCTTTCGTCCCAATGACCACCGATGAAGAGAAGAAATGTATTCGTACCTTTGTTCAACTTTTTGTGCCACATCTGTGTCGTGTGTTTAACAGTTTCGCTGGTCATCCACCTTCATGGAGTAGAACGGCTCCCAATTTGTTCGATTAGCTTTCTTATGGAATTCGAGCTCACTTGTCTTCGATAGTAACTGAAGTTTCTGAAAAATGTTGGGATAAAAGGTCTCCGCTTATAAAACTTCAAGATATTTTCGGAATGGGTTTCAGCTTTCATGGGTGTTTCTGAGGCTGGCGGAGAAGTATTCCTACGCCTGCATAAAGTATATGTTATTGCTTGTGTGACTGCGACTTTGTTTAACGAAAGTATACATTACGCTTGCTGGCTTGCATGGTCAAAGTGGTCGTGCAGTGAAACTCCTCCAAAGGCGCGCATACAGGCTTTTGTGTGCTCTGCCGCTTTAGAGCCAAACAGGTGAGGGCACAGCAGTTCACTCTTGCGATTCCAACTGCATATTGCGTTGCCTACCGAATGTTGTATTTGTTGTCTGTGTAACTTAGCTAGGTGAAAAACAATATCTCAGATATAAACCTAAGACGCACCTCAAAAAAATCAAAAATGCGTGCAAAGAATTTGGGACAAGTTGCTGTAAGGGAACTAACGCCTACGAAACATGAAGTAGAAATGCAACTGCACCTAAAAAAAAGCCTTTGAAATGAAGTTTTTTGCATGTTACTAAAGAACAAAAAAATATATGAAGCAGAATTTGTACATAGGGAGTGTACACGAGTGAGTCAGACTGCATCAAATATAAGATTGCCAAACGGCGGGTCGAGGAATAAGATTATTTTTCTACTTGTTGGTTCATTTGGAGATTTAAAGTGTATTAGCTTAAATACCCTGCTATACTTAGGATATCAGGCATTTCGAGTTTAATTTATCACATAGAAATATATGTTTTTTTTTTCAAAGAACCATGTAGATTCTCTGCGCGTCTCATGAAAGGTGCCGGGTATCTTAAAATCGTGTCCATTCAAATCTAAAACATAGAGCAGATAAGTGTCATTTACGGCAAAGCGCCGTAATCTTCAGCCAAGAGCATCAGATATCCTAGTTTCGAGAAAAGCTGATTCGCAATGGGTCCATGTCAAATCGAAAACTTATGCCCCAAATAACAACCGCAACAGCTCAAGATTTTGCCTACTGAGATAGTAGTCCGAATGGTTCTACGCGTCGAACATTCTACGCCGACTATTCCAGAAGCTCACTCGGGTACATAAGGCGCTTCGCGTAGCGAGCCAGAGTCAGTTTCGCCCCAGCGTTCGACTCTTTTCTTTCGCCGACCTCGACGCCCGCGACACTCTGCTGTTATATTTTGTTTCCTTTTTATCTTTGGGCACAAGTTCGCCCCCATTGAACGTTTCAGTTTCCCCAGTTACTCTTTGTTTCCTCGCCTGTTTATTCGTGGCAGTATGACGAAACTGTTACACGTTGTGGATGACAGATTCAGCTAGTGTGATACGACTGCTACAATGGGGTACTGAAAGGACCACTGAAAAGGGAAAAAAACGTTTTTTTTTTTTAACTGTGGGGTTGGGACATGCGTGTCGAAAAATGAATTTTACTTCAAAACAAAGTTATTTGAGAGCAATATTGACGGCGCGACATTTATTTTAGTTGCGTCTGAATTATGCGCGAAGTCCACGACGTCACGGAATGGTCATACACTATTTCCACCTCAATGAGATGGCCACACGCTCTCTCTATCTCAACGTGATGGCCACAGCTTCTCACTGACACAACTTCTCTTCTTCACCACCCGAAATAGAGAGAAATAAAACAAGTGGAAAGAAGGTGACTACCGACAAAATTGCGTCTCGAGCTGTCAATATTGTTCTAAACATTTTTTTTTTTTTTTGCGCGTAAAATTTAGTTGTTGATACGTCTGTCTCAACCAGGCTGCTTCAAAAAAACTTTTTTTTTCCTGTTTCAGTGGCCCTTTAAAGGGATACTACAACGAAATTTTGGCGCCTATTTTATGGTCTATATGTGTTCAAAGGAGCAGTATCACATCGAACACACCAATATCTTGTTAAAAAAGTCACGAAAACGAATTTTAGAACGAATTAAACGATTCCCAAACAGCACCTGGTGTTTGTCGCGAACGCCTCGTTTGGAATGTCCGTCTAGGTACATTGCCGGGAAGTGACCTAGGTCGTCTCACGGGTTGTCTCCTGGAAGAACGGAGCAGCGCCGCTCTGCGGAAGTACCGCTCACTACGCCTCTTCTCTAGTTCTGAACGCAATTATCAAGCCTTCGCTGCCTGCTCTGCCTTCACCCCTTCGCCATTTTCCCGACGATGGCGACGGTGGACTCGTTGCATTGAGTTGTGGTGGCCCGATCGCTTGCGTACCTCGGTCTCTAGAACGCTTAGATCATCCTGTCGCGTTCTAATGCCGAGATGGTGCGGCACTGTGCGGTAGAGGACTGCGGCAACCTCCTGATTCGGTGCGGAAAACCTATTCACCAGTTCCCAAAGGACGAACAACTTCGTGCGCTTTGGATCCGGCTCGCACGACCGTCCTCCCCGGCGTGGCTTCCAACTACGAGTGATCGCTTGTGTTCCTATCACTTTCGTGATGAGGACTACGTGCGAAGCCCCAGGGTGATGGAGTCCTTGGGCTTCCCGGTGAGGAACGTACAACTCAAACCAGGAGTTTTGCCCCGTTTATTTTCAAAGAAGCGGAGATCTGGCGAGCGCAGCGAACCCCTTGACAAGCGACGCAGAGTGGTAAGGGAGCATGTTGTCTGTCGAGTATTTCCGAGTTCTGCAATGAAAGCCGAACCGCATGTAAGCGATTTAGCGAGTGACGAGACGAGCGACGGCGTCGAGAGTCTGCGACGAGCGACGGAGTCGAGAGTCTGCGACGAGCGACGGAGATTTCTCACTGTCGCCAGTCGCATCGCTCGGTTCTTAGATTACTGGAAAGAGTAAAGCTATACGCACTACGTCGTGCACCTTGACTGGAAATGGCCCTACGCACTACGCGAAGCTCGTATCAGCGGCGAGTTTCCAAAGAGGTGGCGTAGCATGATAGTAAGGTGTCTGCTTTATACGCAGCGGTCCGCGGTTCGATCCCCAATGAGGGCGACGTTTCCTCAGTTTTTTTTTTTTTTTTTATCACTATTTTTTTTTGTAGGGCATTTACGATGTTTAAGACATTTCTTTACTACAAATAACACTGAAAAAAAAAAAAAAAAAGATAAGGATTGATATTTACGAAATTTTGCAGAACTGAATGGTATGGGACTCGCTTTCCGGAGGTGCAGGAGGGGACAGCGGGGCTTGGGTTGCCGGCTGGACGCCGCGAAGCGGCGTGTACAGGTTAAGTTTTGCAATTAGCAGCCGCACAGTGTCGCCGCGAAGCGGCTTGAACGCAGGCAAGGGGGGTAAGGTTCGGTTAAACACACGCCGTCCGAAAAGGGTGACCCAAATGACATGATGGCATCAGCTCTCTGCGTAGTGTTTATAGCCATTTCCGATCGAGGTGCACGACATAGTGCGTATAGCTTTACTCTTCTAGAAAACGTCGCTCACCGTCCTGGCCACTTGCCCCCGTCGCTTTCATGCGGTTTGCCTCCTCGCGCGACCGACCGAGCAACAGCGAAGCGGGTCGCCGTTGCTTGTCTCGTCACTTGCCAAGTCGCTTTCATGCGGTTTATGCTTGTCTGTTTCATCCAGCATGTGAGCGATTTTCCAGGAGACCTGTTGCTCAGTTTGTCACTCGCCGAGGCAAATCGCACGCAGCGACCTCCAGGCGATGACCAAAGTGTTCAGGGAATTTAGAACCGAACACTGCGACAGGCGACAGCGACCAGCGATAGCCTAGCTCATCGCTCGCCAAATCGCTTTCATGCGGTTCAGCCGTGGCCGATCGTGCTTTCTTTTTCAAGCCGTTTTGCTCATCATCGAAGAGCTTTGGCAAGGTGGGTTAGAGCGCCGGATCGAACGCACGCACTGCAGCAATTCAAGGATCTAGGGTTCGACCCCTACCTTACCAGTCTTAACTTGGATAAACATTGTGCTGGCATGCGGTAGTATATCAGTAGTATGTGACGTCCCTTCAAAACCCCGGGGTAGCGGTAGTACTGCACTGGCTGGATTTCCTACCTACAGTGTAGAGCGTATCTGCAACGACAACCATCCACCTCTCTAAATTTCCATGCACTTTATTTTTCTTAATGGCCAGTAAATCATATGCTATTTTCCCCTGAGCATCAGGCACCTCTGCGTGATTCCACCAACTTCCTGGTCGGAGGTGCAGACACATGTTGGGAGCCTACAAACGAGCTAGAAGAAACAGCCGTTAGAACAGGTAAGGTTATTGACGTAACTTGAATGTCTTTTAACGTAACAATGTGTGGGCTGTGAGTGCTGCACCAGTGGGCCCATACTCCTGGGCCAAAAGCAATAACACCCCCTTAACATTCTTCCGTCTTCTCTCTTGCATCTCTCCAGTGACTCCAAGTGTGTTGGCATGTCGGCTGGTTGCACCTGCGGCCTCCCCCACTGCAATAACGCGGACAGACAGTGCCAGCACCTTTACAGGTATGCAGGCACTCCAATGGGACCTATACTGCGTGGTGTCACCTGCTTCAAGCGGAACTGCCAGACGCATCCACACAGTGCTAATGTTGCTCTAAGGCTTTTTGTGTCTCGATCATGCACTTCTATGCTGATTCATGTCTGTTCATAGGCGCCCCTGGAGCGTTGGGTTGCCCACCTGCGGCCTCGCCGACCGCTCCGACACGAACAGATGGAGCCCGCACCCCGACAGGTATGAAGGCACTCCGATGGGACCTATACTGCGTGGTGTCACCTGCTTCAAGCGGAACTGCCAGACGCATCCACAGAGTGCTAATGTTGCTCTAAGGTTTTTTGTGTCTCGATCATGCACTTCTATGCTGATTCATGTCTGTTCATAGGCACCCCTGGAGCGTTGGGTTGCCCACCTGCGGCCTCGCCGACCGCTCCGACACGAACAGATGGAGCCCGCACCCCAACAGGTATGAAGGCACTCCGATGGGACCTATACTGCGTGGTGTCACCTGCTTCAAGCGGAACTGCCAGACGCATCCACACAGTGCTAATGTTGCTCTAAGGTTTTTTGTGTCTCGATCATGCACTTCTATGCTGATTCATGTCTGTTCATAGGCGCCCCTGGAGCGTTGGGTTGCCCACCTGCGGCCTCGCCGACCGCTCCGACACGAACAGATGGAGCCCGCACCCCAACAGGTATGAAGGCACTCCGATGGGACCTATACTGCGTGGTGTCACCTGCTTCAAGCGGAACTGCCAGACGCATCCACACAGTGCTAATGTTGCTCTAAGGTTTTTTGTGTCTCGATCATGCACTTCTATGCTGATTCATGTCTGTTCATAGGCGCCCCTGGAGCGTTGGGTTGCCCACCTGCGGCCTCGCCGACCGCTCCGACACGAACAGATGGAGCCCGCACCCCAACAGGTATGAAGGCACTCCGATGGGACCTATACTGCGTGGTGTCACCTGCTTCAAGCGGAACTGCCAGACGCATCCACACAGTGCTAATGTTGCTCTAAGGTTTTTTGTGTCTCGATCATGCACTTCTATGCTGATTCATGTCTGTTCATAGGCGCCCCTGGAGCGTTGGGTTGCCCACCTGCGGCCTCGCCGACCGCTCCGACACGAACAGATGGAGCCCGCACCCCAACAGGTATGAAGGCACTCCGATGGGACCTATACTGCGTGGTGTCACCTGCTTCAAGCGGAACTGCCAGACGCATCCACACAGTGCTAATGTTGCTCTAAGGTTTTTTGTGTCTCGATCATGCACTTCTATGCTGATTCATGTCTGTTCATAGGCGCCCCTGGAGCGTTGGGTTGCCCACCTGCGGCCTCGCCGACCGCTCCGACACGAACAGATGGAGCCCGCACCCCGACAGGTATGAAGGTACTCCGATGGGACCTATACTGCGTGGTGTCACCTGCTTCAAGCGGAACTGCCAGACGCATCCACACAGTGCTAATGTTGCTCTAAGGTTTTTTGTGTCTCGATCATGCACTTCTATGCTGATTCATGTCTGTTCATAGGCACCCCTGGAGCGTTGGGTTGCCCACCTGCGGCCTCGCCGACCGCTCCGACACGAACAGATGGAGCCCGCACCCCGACAGGTATGAAGGTACTCCGATGGGACCTATACTGCGTGGTGTCACCTGCTTCAAGCGGAACTGCCAGACGCATCCACACAGTGCTAATGTTGCTCTAAGGTTTTTTGTGTCTCGATCATGCACTTCTATGCTGATTCATGTCTGTTCATAGGCACCCCTGGAGCGTTGGGTTGCCCACCTGCGGCCTCGCCGACCGCTCCGACACGAACAGATGGAGCCCGCACCCCGACAGGTATGAAGGTACTCCGATGGGACCTATACTGCGTGGTGTCACCTGCTTCAAGCGGAACTGCCAGACGCATCCACACAGTGCTAATGTTGCTCTAAGGCTTTTTGTGTCTCGATCATGCACTTCTATGCTGATTCATGTCTGTTCATAGGCGCCCCTGGAGCGTTGGGTTGCCCACCTGCGGCCTCGCCGACCGCTCCGACACGAACAGATGGAGCCCGCACCCCGACAGGTATGAAGGCACTCCGATGGGACCTATACTGCGTGGTGTCACCTGCTTCAAGCGGAACTGCCAGACGCATCCACAGAGTGCTAATGTTGCTCTAAGGTTTTTTGTGTCTCGATCATGCACTTCTATGCTGATTCATGTCTGTTCATAGGCACCCCTGGAGCGTTGGGTTGCCCACCTGCGGCCTCGCCGACCGCTCCGACACGAACAGATGGAGCCCGCACCCCAACAGGTATGAAGGCACTCCGATGGGACCTATACTGCGTGGTGTCACCTGCTTCAAGCGGAACTGCCAGACGCATCCACACAGTGCTAATGTTGCTCTAAGGTTTTTTGTGTCTCGATCATGCACTTCTATGCTGATTCATGTCTGTTCATAGGCGCCCCTGGAGCGTTGGGTTGCCCACCTGCGGCCTCGCCGACCGCTCCGACACGAACAGATGGAGCCCGCACCCCGACAGGTATGAAGGCACTCCGATGGGACCTATACTGCGTGGTGTCACCTGCTTCAAGCGGAACTGCCAGACGCATCCACAGAGTGCTAATGTTGCTCTAAGGTTTTTTGTGTCTCGATCATGCACTTCTATGCTGATTCATGTCTGTTCATAGGCACCCCTGGAGCGTTGGGTTGCCCACCTGCGGCCTCGCCGACCGCTCCGACACGAACAGATGGAGCCCGCACCCCAACAGGTATGAAGGCACTCCGATGGGACCTATACTGCGTGGTGTCACCTGCTTCAAGCGGAACTGCCAGACGCATCCACACAGTGCTAATGTTGCTCTAAGGTTTTTTGTGTCTCGATCATGCACTTCTATGCTGATTCATGTCTGTTCATAGGCGCCCCTGGAGCGTTGGGTTGCCCACCTGCGGCCTCGCCGACCGCTCCGACACGAACAGATGGAGCCCGCACCCCAACAGGTATGAAGGCACTCCGATGGGACCTATACTGCGTGGTGTCACCTGCTTCAAGCGGAACTGCCAGACGCATCCACACAGTGCTAATGTTGCTCTAAGGTTTTTTGTGTCTCGATCATGCACTTCTATGCTGATTCATGTCTGTTCATAGGCGCCCCTGGAGCGTTGGGTTGCCCACCTGCGGCCTCGCCGACCGCTCCGACACGAACAGATGGAGCCCGCACCCCGACAGGTATGAAGGTACTCCGATGGGACCTATACTGCGTGGTGTCACCTGCTTCAAGCGGAACTGCCAGACGCATCCACACAGTGCTAATGTTGCTCTAAGGTTTTTTGTGTCTCGATCATGCACTTCTATGCTGATTCATGTCTGTTCATAGGCACCCCTGGAGCGTTGGGTTGCCCACCTGCGGCCTCGCCGACCGCTCCGACACGAACAGATGGAGCCCGCACCCCGACAGGTATGAAGGTACTCCGATGGGACCTATACTGCGTGGTGTCACCTGCTTCAAGCGGAACTGCCAGACGCATCCACACAGTGCTAATGTTGCTCTAAGGCTTTTTGTGTCTCGATCATGCACTTCTATGCTGATTCATGTCTGTTCATAGGCGCCCCTGGAGCGTTGGGTTGCCCACCTGCGGCCTCGCCGACCGCTCCGACACGAACAGATGGAGCCCGCACCCCGACAGGTATGAAGGCACTCCGATGGGACCTATACTGCGTGGTGTCACCTGCTTCAAGCGGAACTGCCAGACGCATCCACAGAGTGCTAATGTTGCTCTAAGGTTTTTTGTGTCTCGATCATGCACTTCTATGCTGATTCATGTCTGTTCATAGGCACCCCTGGAGCGTTGGGTTGCCCACCTGCGGCCTCGCCGACCGCTCCGACACGAACAGATGGAGCCCGCACCCCAACAGGTATGAAGGCACTCCGATGGGACCTATACTGCGTGGTGTCACCTGCTTCAAGCGGAACTGCCAGACGCATCCACACAGTGCTAATGTTGCTCTAAGGTTTTTTGTGTCTCGATCATGCACTTCTATGCTGATTCATGTCTGTTCATAGGCGCCCCTGGAGCGTTGGGTTGCCCACCTGCGGCCTCGCCGACCGCTCCGACACGAACAGATGGAGCCCGCACCCCGACAGGTATGAAGGTACTCCGATGGGACCTATACTGCGTGGTGTCACCTGCTTCAAGCGGAACTGCCAGACGCATCCACACAGTGCTAATGTTGCTCTAAGGTTTTTTGTGTCTCGATCATGCACTTCTATGCTGATTCATGTCTGTTCATAGGCACCCCTGGAGCGTTGGGTTGCCCACCTGCGGCCTCGCCGACCGCTCCGACACGAACAGATGGAGCCCGCACCCCAACAGGTATGAAGGCACTCCGATGGGACCTATACTGCGTGGTGTCACCTGCTTCAAGCGGAACTGCCAGACGCATCCACACAGTGCTAATGTTGCTCTAAGGTTTTTTGTGTCTCGATCATGCACTTCTATGCTGATTCATGTCTGTTCATAGGCGCCCCTGGAGCGTTGGGTTGCCCACCTGCGGCCTCGCCGACTGCTCCGACACGAACAGATGGAGCCCGCACCCCGACAGGTATGAAGGCACTCCGATGGGACCTATACTGCGTGGTGTCACCTGCTTCAAGCGGAACTGCCAGACGCATCCACACAGTGCTAATGTTGCTCTAAGGTTTTTTGTGTCTCGATCATGCACTTCTATGCTGATTCATGTCTGTTCATAGGCGCCCCTCGAGCGTTGGGTTCCAGGCTGCCTCTACCAGCGGCCTCACCCACTGCTTTGACGCGGACGAATGGAGCCTGCACCCCGACAGGTATGCAGGCACTCCGATAGGACCTATACTGCGTGGTGTCACCTGCTTCAAGCGGAACTGCCAGACGCATCTACACAGTGCTAATGTTGCTCTAAGGTTTTTTGTGTCTCGATCATGCACTTCTATGCTGATTCATGTCTGTTCATAGGCGCCCCTGGAGCGTTGGGTTCCAGGCTGCCTCTACCAGCGGCCTCACCCACTGCTTTGACGCGGACGAATGGAGCCTGCACCCCGACAGGTATGAAGGCACTCCGATGGGACCTATACTGCGTGGTGTCACCTGCTTCAAGCGGAACTGCCAGACGCATCCACACAGTGCTAATGTTGCTCTAAGGTTTTTTGTGTCTCGATCATGCACTTCTATGCTGATTCATGTCTGTTCATAGGCGCCCCTCGAGCGTTGGGTTCCAGGCTGCCTCTACCAGCGGCCTCACCCACTGCTTTGACGCGGACGAATGGAGCCTGCACCCCGACAGGTATGCAGGCACTCCGATGGGACCTATACTGCGTGGTGTCACCTGCTTCAAGCGGAACTGCCAGACGCATCCACACAGTGCTAATGTTGCTCTAAGGTTTTTTGTGTCTCGATCATGCACTTCTATGCTGATTCATGTCTGTTCATAGGCACCCCTGGAGCGTTGGGTTGCCCACCTGCGGCCTCGCCGACCGCTCTGACACGAACAGATGGAGCCCGCACCCCAACAGGTATGAAGGCACTCCGATGGGACCTATACTGCGTGGTGTCACCTGCTTCAAGCGGAACTGCCAGACGCATCCACACAGTGCTAATGTTGCTCTAAGGTTTTTTGTGTCTCGATCAAGCACTTCTATGCTGATTCATGTCTGTTCATAGGCGCCCCTGGAGCGTTGGGTTGCCCACCTGCGGCCTCGCCGACTGCTCCGACACGAACAGATGGAGCCCGCACCCCGACAGGTATGAAGGCACTCCGATGGGACCTATACTGCGTGGTGTCACCTGCTTCAAGCGGAACTGCCAGACGCATCCACACAGTGCTAATGTTGCTCTAAGGTTTTTTGTGTCTCGATCATGCACTTCTATGCTGATTCATGTCTGTTCATAGGCGCCCCTCGAGCGTTGGGTTCCAGGCTGCCTCTACCAGCGGCCTCACCCACTGCTTTGACGCGGACGAATGGAGCCTGCACCCCGACAGGTATGCAGGCACTCCGATGGGACCTATACTGCGTGGTGTCACCTGCTTCAAGCGGAACTGCCAGACGCATCTACACAGTGCTAATGTTGCTCTAAGGTTTTTTGTGTCTCGATCATGCACTTCTATGCTGATTCATGTCTGTTCATAGGCGCCCCTGGAGCGTTGGGTTCCAGGCTGCCTCTACCAGCGGCCTCACCCACTGCTTTGACGCGGACGAATGGAGCCTGCACCCCGACAGGTATGAAGGCACTCCGATGGGACCTATACTGCGTGGTGTCACCTGCTTCAAGCGGAACTGCCAGACGCATCCACACAGTGCTAATGTTGCTCTAAGGTTTTTTGTGTCTCGATCAGGCACTTCTATGCTGATTCATGTCTGTTCATAGGCGCTTCTGGAGCGTTGGGTTCCAGGCTGCCTCTACCAGCGGCCTCACCCACTGCTTTGACGCGGACGAATGGAGCCTGCACCCCGACAGGTATGAAGGCACTCCGATGGGACCTATACTGCGTGGTGTCATCTGCTTCAAGCGGAACTGCCAGACGCATCCACACAGTGCTAATGTTGCTCTAAGGTTTTTTGTGTCTCGATCATGCACTTCTATGCTGATTCATGTCTGTTCATAGGCGCTTCTGGAGCGTTGGGTTCCAGGCTGCCTCTACCAGCGGCCTCACCCACTGCTTTGACGCGGACGAATGGAGCCTGCACCCCGACAGGTATGCAGGCACTCCGATGGGACCTATACTGCGTGGTGTCACCTGCTTCAAGCGGAACTGCCAGATGCATCCACACAGTGCTAATGTTGCTCTAAGGTTTTTTGTGTCTCGATCATGCACTTCTATGCTGATTCATGTTTGTTCATAGGCGCCCCTCGAGCGTTGGGTTCCAGGCTGCCTCTACCAGCGGCCTCACCCACTGCTTTGACGCGGACGAATGGAGCCTGCACCCCGACAGGTATGCAGGCACTCCGATGGGACCTATACTGCGTGGTGTCACCTGCTTCAAGCGGAACTGCCAGATGCATCTACACAGTGCTAATGTTGCTCTAAGGTTTTTTGTGTCTCGATCATGCACTTCTATGCTGATTCATGTCTGTTCATAGGCGCTTCTGGAGCGTTGGGTTCCAGGCTGCCTCTACCAGCGGCCTCACCCACTGCTTTGACGCGGACGAATGGAGCCTGCACCCCGACAGGTATGAAGGCACTCCGATGGGACCTATACTGCGTGGTGTCACCTGCTTCAAGCGGAACTGCCAGACGCATCCACACAGTGCTAATGTTGCTCTAAGGTTTTTTGTGTCTCGATCATGCACTTCTATGCTGATTCATGTCTGTTCATAGGCGCCCCTCGAGCGTTGGGTTCCAGGCTGCCTCTACCAGCGGCCTCACCCACTGCTTTGACGCGGACGAATGGAGCCTGCACCCCGACAGGTATGCAGGCACTCCGATGGGACCTATACTGCGTGGTGTCACCTGCTTCAAGCGGAACTGCCAGACGCATCTACACAGTGCTAATGTTGCTCTAAGGTTTTTTGTGTCTCGATCATGCACTTCTATGCTGATTCATGTCTGTTCATAGGCGCTTCTGGAGCGTTGGGTTCCAGGCTGCCTCTACCAGCGGCCTCACCCACTGCTTTGACGCTGACGAATGGAGCCTGCACCCCGACAGGTATGCAGGTGCTTCAAGAAAAAAAAAAAAATTGGGTTGTGTGTATGTTTATAAAGTCTAGAACTTGGTCTACCTCAACGGGCGACTTGTCTCCCAGCTGTAGATGAGAAATTTACCCAGTGCAGTACAGCCACTAGCCTGGGGTCCTTAACGAACATCACGCACTAGTGATGCACGACCGCACGCTGGTACGATGCTCATTCAGATCAAAACAGGCAGGGGTGGGGATAAAACCTAGCATCTTGGGTTCTGCAGCGCGAGCTTTCGCTCCACGTGCTCTGAGCTGGTGTGCGCTAGCCCACTCGGCCACCGATCCCCCCTCAGGTGCTCCAAGCGGGACCTATACTTCGTAGTGTCACCTGCTTCAAGCAGAACCACCAGACGCATGTACACAGTGCTTGTGTTGCTTCTAAAGTTTTCTTGTCGCTCAATCATGCACCTTTACGCTGATTGATATATGTCCATAGGTACGTTTGGTGCGTTGGTTTCCATTCTGCGTCCACCTGTGGCCTCCCCCACCTCTCTGATATGGACTGACGACGCCCGCACCCAGACAGGTATGCAAGCACACCGAAGGGGGACTATACTCTTTTGCGTCACCTGTATCGAGCAAAACCGTCAAAGGCCTCTTCATATTGGCAAAGTGATTGTCACGTTTGACATCTACACAGCGCTTTTGTTGCTACAAAGGTTCCTTTGTTTCTCAATCATTGACTATTTCTGCTTTTCGTTTACTTTACAGCAGCCTTGAGAGCAATGACTGCTGCTAGACATCCTGTGTTTTCAGCATCGTCACGTTACGAGACACGGTCCGTGATGACGCAGACAACAGGCTTCGGCAGAAACGCAGGTACGGTCATTCATGTAAACTAAATATACTGACACGAGAATCATTTTAATTCTGTTCGAATTCTACTTGAGCGAGTTAAACTGAGAAGGAGGCGGTGTCAGATATATCTCGATGTTTGAGCTGTGCAGATGTTTGGTATTTGTTAAAGAGAGCTTGGTGTAGTTAGCACACAGAGTTTAAGTCAAAAACCCATTCATTATATTTAAATGGAGCACATTTCTAATGCCTTAGATTTTTTGCTAGGTACACAAGCATGTATACCATCGAGGAACAAGAAAGTGCAGACGGAGCTTTCTGGAATTATGCCGCAGACCTCTTCCTCGTCAAACTGTGGTGATCCAGAACAGAGGTATGCAAAGGTCTTGGGCCTACAATGCCTAGAGCATCTGAACGCCATCTGGCAACAACCTCTCCACCTATTTCTGTGTTAGTTTTAGGAGTTCCCTGAGGCCCTGCAACTCCCAGACATCACTTTGTGACCCCCCTTTTGTGCAGTTCTGATTCAGAAGACCTGGGTGTATCAGGGAAGCAGCCACTGGAAAGAGATGACCCTACGTATTGTCCACCAGAGGACAGCTCTGTTAGGTCCGTATGCAGTCGTGTAAGAATTTATGAGATCATCTATCATGCCTAGACAGTTTGTTGAGATGATGTTGGTTTTTGTGTCGCAGGCTTGAGAGGGAAACACCATCTTTGGTAAAGGAGAGGAAATTCATTGTATTCGAGTCTTGCCTTGACCTTCTCCTGGGGAAGTGCCAAGTATGTGCTGCTCCCCTGATCCACGTGGACAAGAGTGTCGTTGGCTGCAGCCTGCAAGTCTACTCAATTTGTCGGAGTGGACACGTGAATGACTGGTGCAGCCAGCCCATCATCAAGCGGAAGCCGGTGGGGAGTATCCTAATGGCTGCGGCAATCCTGTTCAGTGGCAGCTGCGTAAAGAAGACACTCAGAACACTCACCAGCATGGGGATTGTCTGTTTCTCCTATGGCACCTTCTTCAACATCCAGAAGGCCTTTCTCCTGCCCTCAATCGAAAAGGTACTCTGAAGTTAAAAACTGACAGAAACACCCCCCCCCCCCCCCCCATGTTTTCCCTGTGCTCTTTGCTCCTCGTGACCACAATAAAGTGGGCCTAGAAACTGTTTACTACAGAAACGAGTGGTTTCGTTCCTGGTTTGGAAAGGAGTAACCCATGGCTGAAATTCCTTCTTTCTGCTCGTGTGTTGGTCTTGTAGGCCAAATTTGGTCCTCGAACCATTAAAACACATTCATTAAGACATAATAGTAGATTCTGTAAAGAAAATGTGACCTAATTTAAACTCGGTCTCTGTTTCAAGCCCAGTTGCCTATCCTGTATTTTTCGTAACCAGGTCTGGAACAAGCATCAGAACGAGTTGTTCGCAGCTGCTGCAGGCAGGCACCTCACCATCGCCGCTGACGGGAGAGCAGACTCACCTGGCCACTCGGCCAAGTATGGCTCCTACACGATGCTTGATGCCGATGACAACAAGGTCATTCACGTTGAAACCGTCCAGGTATGTACACAAATTCTATAGGTGCTCCAGATTCTATGCTGCCATAAGCATATAATGTTATACTTGCAACTAGGTAAATATCTGCTGAGCATTTTTTCGGCCATGTAGCTTGTAATTTTTTTAATAATTTGTTATCATCATTACAAAGTGTGGAAATGTGAATTACAAAATCGAGAGATGTGAGTTACACTCATTTCCCTTTACTGTGACTTGGACACAGCAATGGAAAGACACGCACCTCAATGTTCAGACATTGAGGTGTACAAACTGGCATATTTTGTTTCGTTTGTGCTGCTTCATGTTGTCCTCGTTTGTTTCTTTTAGTCCAATGAAACTGGGGGCAGCTATCATATGGAGCTGGAAGGCCTCAAGAGGTCCCTCAGCATTTTTGAGGCCCACTCGTTGATTGTGGCCATCCTGGTAACCGACCGGCATCCCCAGCTCAATGCTTGGCTGGGACGAGAACACCCAGATATCTGCCACCTTTTTGATTGCTGGCATGTGGGGAAGGGTAAGATTTAAAAAGGTTCCATCTATCCCAATGAGACTGTCACCAGCTTGGGCAGTGGTCCTGAAGGCAGCCTTTGGGAAAATGTAAACTTCCCCAGCCGTGGGAAGTGTTAAGAGTTGCAAAAGATATAAAATTGAGCTATCTAACTAACTAAAATGGGCTATTTAAATTTCTAATTAGCAATTTTTAGGGCCATGTTGCAATTAGGGTTTTGAAGGCTGCCACCATGGTCATCTAAAGCAATTTACAAAAAGTAAAAAGAAGCAACTGGCTTAGAGATATTCACCGACAGACTTTGCGCTGTAATGGGTATGATTTTCGAAATTTGATATCACTATACGCACCTGTCCTACCATACCCATTACGGCGCAAAGTTTGTTGGTGACTATCTTGAAGCTGGTTGCTTCTTTTTACTTTTTACTTTACTTACTACCATGGTGGTAGCCTTCAAAATTCTTTGTTTTTGTTTTGCCTCTTTGCTTTTCAGATAACCTATTTTCAGTAATTTTTAAAAGCTTTCACTGAAAGACCTGGTATATCTAGACATAAAAATATGAACGGCGTTGTGGCAGCTTCCAGAAAAAGAAGGTCTGCCAGCTTCGGCCACGCTTTGTTGTTGCTGCTGCTAGTAAAAAAGAGATTGAAGTATGCGTGACAGGTTCCAGCTGGCACTGGAGTTTCAAAAGAGCCTGTTGGCTTTCCAAAGGTGCCCTGCATGCATCATGTTTACCTTGTTTACAACATTTCACTTCAGGCATCAAGAAAAAGCTGGCTGCAGCTGCCAAGTCACGGCATTTAGAGGAGCTCGGGTCTTGGACAAGGGCAGTGGTGAACCATCTGTACTGGTGTGCTGGGTCAAGTGTCGACAACCAGGACCTCATCCTGCCAAAATGGAAGTCTCTGGTGGCACACGTAGTGGGTGTGCATACCCACGCTGACCCTCTCTTCCCAGAGTGTGAGCATGAGGAGCTAGAGAAAAAGTGGCTAGCAGAAGGTAAGGACAGATTTTTATTTTTGTGAGGCTTGAAATACGCTTTCTGCATTGCACTATGTCCCACGTTCTTGTTGTAGGGTCCCCTGCGCACCAGAAGCTGGTGGAGATCGTGCTCTCCACTCACCTGCTTCGCGACATTCCTCGACTGTCCACATCGGCGCAGACATTTGCAACAGAGTGCTTTCATAGTACTCTGTTGCAGTTTGCGCCGAAGCAGGTCCACTTCAGCTTCCGAAGCATGAAGGCCAGGTGTGTAAGAAATTTGGTTATTTCCTGTTTAGGTGTTTTTTTGTCATGCATATCTTGTACAGGACCTACCTCGCTGCCCTCCATTACAACGAAAATGCGGGAAGGCCCCAAGCGGTGACCAAGAAAGGAGAGAAGATGTGGGTCATCAAGTATCCAAAAGCAAAGAAAGGACCCACTGTTGCTAAGCGCAAGACTGACTGCACCTATGGTATATGCCCGTGCTCATATTTGTACGTGGCTGGTGCAGATTTTTTAATTGCTTTGAATGTCTCATTACAGAGTATGTGGGGGAGCTCATGGCAGTTGTGCTGCACCTCTGCTCAACGCTGCCATCCTACAAGGCTGCAGCTGCCCTCTGCAACCAGGATGCACCTCCATTTCTTTCTAGTGCGTATCAGCATGGAGATAAACAGGCATTGGTGCAACAGCACTGCTCTAGGTTTACTCGGTAGTCTGATGTAGGCCAAGGTTCCACTTGCTTGATGCAGCTTCTTGCGCTACGCTCCAGCTTTTTCACTTCACCGTGTTTGACCGTTCGGAAAACCTCAGCAAGAATGGGATCCACTGCTGTGTTGTCGGCCAGTTCCTTTTCAGTCATGGGAGGTTTCGTCGGGGCTTCTAACATCAGTACGTTGCCTGAAGGATGTTGCTCATTGTCAGTCTCGGGCAATGGTAGTCTGCCTAAAGCATCAGCGTTTTAATTTCGCTTTCCTGGTCTAGAGATTAGGTTATAATCATAGGCTCCCAGCTTAACACACCAGCATGTCCTACTTGGTGAAAGCACAGTCGGTACTGGGGACTCCTGTCCTATGATGCCCAACAGTGGTTGGTGGTCAGTCGTTATGGTCACGTGATGCGCCGCAACGTAGCGATGAAAACGGTCCATGGCGAATATAATAGCCAGCCTTTTACGATCCAATTGGGAGTAATTCTTTTCACGTGACGCCTTGCGACGTAGTGATGAAAACGGTGTATGGCAAAGATAGTAGCCAGCCCCTCACAATCCAGTTAGAAGAAATCCTTTTCGACCTTAATGAGCATTCTTGATGTAAAGACGATCGGTGTTTTGTTTCTATCTGAATCTAGCTGAGCTAATACTGCCTCGATGCCGTAGAGGGTTGCGTCACATGACACGCTCAAGCTTTTGTTTTTATCGTAGTGTGCGAGAACTGCACGCTGTGCAATAACATACTTTAACTGTCTAAAGGCTCGCCAATTTGTTTCCTGCCATTCACCGGGGACGTCTTTCTCTAGAAATATGTAGAGGTCTTTCGTGATTGTTGCCCTGTTTGCCAAAAACCGATCGAAAAACGCTAGAAGACGAAGAAACGACTGCAGCATTGTTTGGCATGTTGGTTCGGGCATCTCTTTGGTCGCTTTCAGTTTCTCCTCTGTCGGGTGTATCCCGGCAGTATCGATGATGTATCCGAGGTATACAACTTGTTCCACTGCAAAACGTAACTTGCACCTCTTGAGTTGAAGTCCAGCCTGAGCAAGTCGCATCAAAACTGTATCCAGTTGAGTCATGTTCTGCTGCGGTCGTACCGCTGATAGCGTCATCGAGGTATACCCCGATCCGCGGGATTTTAGGTAGTACTGCTTTCATGAATCGATAGAAAATCGCTGGTGTTGGCGGCGATCCCAAATGGCATTCTTTTTACCCTGTAGAGGCCTTTTGCAGTGTTAATGGTTAACACGTCGGCTGTTTCTGTTGTTAACTGTAGTTGTTGATACGCTTGAGCAAGGTCCAGTGTAGAAAATACCAACCTGTTTTGCAGATTGGTTAGGATTTCTGGAATCGTCAGCATAGGGTGCACTGCGGCTTTCGCCTCCTTGTTTACCGTACTTCGGTAGTCTCCACATAGCCAAATGGTCCCGCCTTTCTTTCGGACAACTACCACCGGTATAGCCCACTCTAAGTGCTTTGTCGGTTCGAAAATACCTTGGTTCTCGAGAGTTTTCAATTCAACCTCTACTGCGGTACGCAGTGCGAACGGCACGGGCTGTGATTGGAGGGAATTGGCAGTAGCGTCCCCTTTTAAATCAAAGTTTACAGGCGGACCCTTGTGCCCCGTGATCTTTGCATCAGAAACATCCTCATGTACCTTCAAAATGTTCACAATGTTGTTTCTGGTGCCGAGGAGGTGAATTCCACAGACCCTAATCTTCAGCTCTTTGAACCAGTCTCTTCCTGAAGACTGGAACTGGTTCCACGTGTCACTACCAACGACAAGATGTATTGTTTCAATCAATGCCTGACGCAAACATTCGCCTTTCCAAGTACTTGTAAAATTTCTCCTGACCAGGTATGAAGGATTATTCCCTCCTGGTTCAGTGATTGGGGCTTCGTGGGCTACAGAGGACAATACGTGGCTTCATTGATGATTGAGCAAGCATCTGTCGAATTGATCTCAAATTCCAGCTCTCGGTTTTCAATCTCCAGGATGACCTTAGGCAGCATTCAGCTCATGCAGGCTCCATGACTTGTCCGAAAGATCATCATCAGAATCAAGGGTCTCATTGTCCTGTTCCACGTTGTGTGTCATCCACGCTTGGTGCTGCGCCCTTAACTTCTTGAAACAAGCCTTTTTGACATGCCCCTTCTTGGGGCAGAGGTTACATCGTGTATTTTGGAACTTGCACGAGAACGCCGAATGCTGTTCTTGGCATCGGTAGCACGTCTGGGATTCTGACAGTTTGTTTTGTCTTTCCGTTTCCACAATTTCAGCAGTAATATTGCTTTTTTGACAGCTTAAACCTAAGATTTTTGGGTTTTCAAATCTCGTTGATGTTGTGCAGCACTTTCTGTCCGCACGGCCATGTCGTATGCTTTATGAAACGTTAAGTTGGTCCCTGCAAACAGACTCTGTTGTAGATGCTCGTCTCTTATGCCACGAACAAAACAATCTCAGCCTGACGTCGAGAGGTAGCATGGTTGGGTTGAAAACTGGTTGACTCACCGGAACTGAAGTTCCAGTTGCTCCCAAGTTGACGGAACCAGCTGTCGTTCCAGTTGTAGCCAAACCCATGCCTGCGGTACTGGAAGTTGTTGCAGCCGCCTGTGTCACTAGAATCCCAAAGTTACAATCAGCAGCTAGCTTCTTTAGGGCTGTCGTGTAGCTGGAAATTGACTCCCAGGCTGCTGGTCTCTTCGCTGGAACTTCGTTGTGCCGAAGAGCTCCGACGGCTGCGGGTCAAAGCAGCATCACCATGAGTTCACCGAAATTGACACTTCTGGGTGTTCTCGGTGCAGCCAGTGCTCGCACGACTTTGTACGTCTGTGCTCCACAACGTGTAAGCAGTAGGGCCCTTTTCTTTTAAGGATCTGTTATTCTGTTCGCCTTGCAGTAGAAGCTGTCTGGTCGAATTCTTCCAGCTTGCCTTGGGTGGTCATCCCGCTGTAGTTCTTGGACGTTGACCGACCTCGTCGCTAAAATGTAATGTATCCTGGGTAAAGCCCAAGCACAACACCAAGGAGCGTCCAAACGTTGCTTTTTAATGGTGCCTCGAATCCCAATGCCCGTGCACACGTACCGTGCCCCAGGCCCGTGCTTTTGAAGAGCGCTGGTAAGTGCATTTGCCTGGCAACGCTATCTCTTGGCCACCAGCCGATACATGACAGAAGCCAGTTCTTGGCCGACTTGCATCCGAAGATTTTGTTTAAAGGCTCAAAGTTTCAATCTTTGCATGAGGAAAAAGTTGATCGCCACATGCAGTAGTAGAGTAAAAATGTTTCAGGAGCCAAAAGACAAGAAAGGGGGTTATCGGAGGCTGCTGATATTAGCGAGGACAGGGCAGATGGTATAGGAAGGAGGTTGGGTTAAAAAAAAAATCCCAACTTGCCTCATGAATATGATCAAGAATGGAACGCAGGAAGTGTTGTTGCTTGTAAGGAGGCCCTCTAGAGGTGGCTCTTTACAGTGCTTGGCTGGTAGTTTGAAGACCATGGCATTCTCAAAGGAGGCATCCGAGACCAATTGGACTACTGGAATTTTTACGGAATTTGCAGACTGGTAGTTGTCCTTCTCAGCTCTACTTTGCTCTTCTCTCGGGTGTGCACGCCATATCCTCTGCGATTCTTCTCAGTAGTACCCTTGCTTGTCTCCCAAGCCACCTGGGAACGAGCCCATTCATTGGGAATGAGACCATTGGAGACGGAGTTTGCTCTCCGCTTGGTCATTACGATTTTCATCCTCATCTGCTGCTTGGTCATCTGGTGGTGAGCAGTCATAATCCTGCAGATGGTGAAAGCCGTGGTGTATCCTATGACGATGATACAAAAACTAACTAATTTGCAAAGTGGGTTGGTATTTTTTACACTGGACCTTACTCAAGCATATGAACTACAGTTGCCAGCTGCATTTTTGTGCCTTGCTTGAAGACTTGATCACCACAAGTGTTACAAATCTGGTTTAGACAGTGATTTCCAAGGTGACTACGTATCAGCTGTTTAATAACAAATGTAAATTTTCTTACATTCATTGGCAAAGAACCACCGCCTTTTCCCACCTCTTTGTTTTGTCCTTCCAGCGAGCAACACTTGCAACTTCATTTTGGTCAATCAACCGTTTGAACCCAATGACTGCCTCGGAATTCTCGAGTTTCAGGTGCTACTGTGACACTTTGTTTTATGTTAGTCTGCCTTTTCTGTGGACAAATGCAGCTTTGCTTTGAATGGAAGCTCATATGCAGGATATATGCGCCAATTTTGCTGGAGGCTCAAGTTCTTGCTACAAAGATATACGAGAATTTGGAATTACCATACATGTATTTGTCTACACCTTCGACTTGGTTGCCGGTGTTGCACCATGCACACGGTGCAGTGCGGTTAATGCGAATAAGCTATCGCTAGTTTTTAACTTCTACTTTTGCAAATCAAATGTTTATCACTAAAACCACTTATGCAGTAAATAGGAGCGACTTACCATAATATACCAAGAGACAGCCCACGTAAAACTGAGAGCATATTAGGCGAAAATACAGGGTGGACTAACTTTCAGCGTGCAAAATTGAGTTCAACTAAAGCCATTAGGATAATAAGAAGTTATGCTGAAAATCAGGGTGGGCTATCTTTTGGGGATGGGTCTTCTCTTGAGATATTATGGTAGATGATAAAACTTAGCTTCTCCCTCTTCACTGCCTGAACAGTCTGAAAAAGCACAGGTGAAGTTCCGCTCTGTTGAATGAAAAATGCATTATAATCAGGAAAACTTAACTGTTCACGTTGTCGTACCTACTAGTCATTAACGACCTCGCAAGCCATTCTTAGGTTCATAGGTTGCAACCTATTGCTAAACTTACGAGCCTAGAGCTTGGTGACATTTGCTGTCTTTTATTGATGAAGGTGTCTTTGAAGGGCTGGACAAAACATGCCGTAAACGAGTCCTTCAGGTGGCCAATACTTTTTTTATTTTTTGAACCCCCTGTATGTCCCATCTGTGGACGGGAATTCTTGCCGAATCTGACAGACGACGCAGCTGGGCAGCACCACTCGGTTTCCCCGCCCCAGCCTCTTGTGCACCCACCAGGTGAACTGGTGGTATGCCGTGTAGCGGTACTTCCTGTAATGAGATGAGGTGGCAGAAACCAGCGTTGAACTCTGAGCAAAGAGGGAAAAGCTAATCACTATTTGCTTCTGACCTTTTCTACTATGCGTTTGTATAGTGTCAACAATCTCCAATGACATCTCGCAGTTTACATCATTACTGTCCTGTAGCATGGGGAACTTCTAACAACATTTTGTATGCAGAAGGATTTTAATTATATTTAATACTGCTTGAACAAGTGTATCTTCACTGTTTGTTGGCATTTAGTTTTTCGGGCTTTTCATTGCAGTATCGATATTTATGTTGTGGTCTATAGACAATTGTGCGGTTTCACGGTAACGAGATTGTCATTGTAGGAAAGAGCAATAAACTTTTTTTGGTGGAATTCTGAAAGCATGGGTACTCTCTCTAATTATTCTGAAATGATGTCTGACCCTGTTTATTTACATGCACAGTGTGGCAGTTAACAGATAAATGATGTCTGACCCTGTTTATGTACATGCACAGTGTGGTAGTTAACAGATAAATGATGTCTGATTCTGTTTATTTACATGCACAGTGTTGCAGTTACCAGATAAGCACACTGCTGTTATTCTTTTTTTTTTCTTGAAAGGTGTGCGAGTACCTAATCGTAGTAGCTAAATCGAATTAAGAACCGATCATCGAATAGAAGACCATGTGTATGTAACAAGCTCAAATACAAGTTCCTGTGCAGTACCAGCTGCTGAACATTATTGGTGGTCAGTCATGCTAATTGGGCCATAACAATGTGGCCACTGAAATAAAATTGCCTATCACATTTTTTTTCTTGTAACACATTGTGCTTTCCAACTATGTTTTCATTTTAAACGCTCCAGTGCCCCCTAAAATTGGTATCCGTTAGTGGCACAAAAGCTTGCTTTTAATTTATCTTTACCCTGTCGCACTACACCAGGGTGGACCGGTAAAATTAAAATGTATTTTGCATATTTGGAAGTTCAATACAACAGCCTGCTAGAATGGAGGGAAGGAAAAAGTATTTCGCTTGTGCTGCACCAACCACATCTTTCGCAATACCTAATATGAGAAATCAGATTTGCAAATAGAATTATTTGAGAGCTTCATGTTCGATTCATATTCAAATATTTGCACACCGTATAAATTTCTTGTTCTTAGGAGAATAATGACATTTATCAATATTACTAGTGTGGTGAAATGACCACATATCAAGATTTTGATTTTAGAGACAGGATTTTTCATAATGCCTGAAAAAAGCATGACACCAACGCTGTGTTTGTAGCTGTAAACACGAATATTTGGAGTGGAAGCCAGCGGTAACAACTAGAATGACTGCAATAAGCTGCAGGGGTGTAATCAACAAGGGGGGGGGGGGGTCTACAGCCCCCCCCCCCCCAAATATTTAGCTGACACTATAATATACACATGCATTTTGAACCCCCTCCCCCTCTCCGCACCCCAAGTCGTGGACATCCCGGCCACCTTGGCCCCGACCCCGAAAAAAAATTCCTGGCTACACCACTGATCAGTTGAATATACATACTCCTCTTGGGTCCGGTTCCCCGCATCCAAAGGGCAGAAGTATTGCATTGTGACATACGCCAGGTCCAGCACTGGCCTGTTCAGGCAGTAGAGCTCGAACCAGGGGTGCTTGGTGATACAGGACACCCCCTGGTCCTGGCAGAGCTCTCTTGCACGGTCAACCTCTCGGCAGCACAGGGACTCGTAGTCCGTCAGCATCGCTCTGCAGCCGTTGCAAGAGCACCTGTTGGGACAAATTTTGCTCAACGAATGAATGCCGGAAATACAAGGGCACTACGAAACTTTACTCGATGTTTTCTAAGGTGTTTGCAACATCTACCTCATCCATAAAACTTTGATAATGGCAGTTTTCGGTGCCGAAAACTGCCATTATTATCGCTCGCGCGTTGGAGCCTGTCGGGCTGAGGCGACCGCACGCCGGCAATCGCCACAGCGTATCTATGTTTTGCAACTGCTAATTCGTAAAGGTAGAGTGCGCATGCAAAGCCTTGATCGGCACCAAGAAGATGGAGGCATATCCTGATATCATAGCAACATCCCGCCGTTTCAATACATGCCGCGCCTGCCAATCGCGAAAATATGTACGAAATAAAAATGAAATATTTCTTGATCGCGAATGAAATAGAAAACTTACCAATTCGCGGAGCCCACACGACGGGCTGGTGGTGGCGTGTCCGGCCCGTCCCCGTCGCCTTCAGATGAAGACGACGCAGATGGGTCGTAAATGTACGGCTGTAAGCCGAATCGGCGATCTTTCACCATCGCAGAAGCGATGTCTTCGTCCTCGCTGGTGTCGCTAAGTTTTCTGTTTCCGCGACACGCCATCGCGACACAAAGCACGAACCGACTACCGTGTTTGGCACGGGATTAGTGGGTTCACGGACACTGGGATCACAGGGTGGCCGTGTTTGCCGGGTTGTGACTTGTGAGGCCGTTCAGACCGCAGGCAGGTCAAACGTATAGGTTGTAACATAACTTTACTCGTGAACGCCACCAAGTGACGAAATTCATAATCACGTCAGCCTCGCCGCAGCTTTCCTCCAATCGTTGATTGAGACGTCCTACGTCATGACTGCGCCGGATGTGACGTGGCCTCCGCTGGCTGTTCTCCGACTGCTTGCCAGAGTGGGCCGTTTAGAACGAAAAATACAGCCATCTGCTCAAAATACGGACGTGCGGTTGTCATTTTCGAGTATTGTGGATCATAGTCGACCTATTTCTGTACACGGCGGGTAAAATTCAAATTTCGTTGAAGTATCCCTTTAAAGGACACATGCAAAGGAAAAAAGCCACTTATAAAAAAAAAAATTCAGCCTTTCCGCTTTGGTGAAGAAGGAAGACCAGTGAAGCTGTACTATGGTGGGAATGAAGTAATGGCCGTCCGCAAGCCGGTAAGCCAGAGTGGAAAGGCTGGAAAGGTTGCCGCCATCTATGAGCGACGGCGGCAAGCAGACAACCGGCAAACACAACACTCTGGACAGCCACCGCCATCTATGAGTGACGGCGGCAACCAAAGTGTTGTGTCGATATTTGTTTGCTACCGGACACGATCCTGGGCAACCTAGCCCTTAACAGCTCTGCTGAAAAAAGCCTGGACGGCGAAAGGGTGCCATAAAATGAATTTATAACGAAAAAAATTTAGAGCTAAATTTACGGCGCGAAACGAATTTACAGTTGGCACCCGCGGGAGCCGCCGCCGGTCACGTGGTAGACCTGTGCGCCATCGCGCTGCGCCGCCGACGCCGACGCCAGAGCCGTTCAGCGCAGCCGCTGAAGTCTCCAGAACCCAACCTCCTTGCCAGAACCCCACGCCGCCGCCGCCACACGCTGAGCGTGAGCTGGGTCACGCGCCGCCCGTTGAACGCGTTTCGCCGCGCCGCCGCCTCCGCCGCCGTTGGGGAACACTCCGGTGCACCGCCGCCGTAAATTTCTGACCAGCGCCCACGTCTATCATGTTGTGCTTGCGCTCTCCCCGGAGCTTCCTTTGGGCTCCTAAAAGTTACTTATTATTCTTTGCTCTTTTGTCGCACATTGAACGAAGATTAATAAGTAAATTTTAGAGGCAATAGGAAGTCCCGAAAGAGCGCAAGCACCACGTGACCATAGAGGCCACTTTTCCGCAGGCTTCCGCGAGTGCAACTACAAGTTCGCTTCGCGCCGTAAATATAGCTCTATGAATTCCTTTTTTCTTGTAAATTCGTTTTATTGTATCCTTCACACGTGCAGGCTGCTTAAAAAATGATTTTTTCTTTGCATGTGTTTTTTAACGTGCACAGCGCACTAGTAGTGTGGTAGGCGTTACCGAAACAAAAAAAATGACAAAATACCTTACTCGTTACTTCCAAATAAAAGTAACGCGTTACCGTCCTACGTTAATTCAAAATAAGAGGAGCACGTTACCGATACCGTTACCGATAAAAGAGTGTTTTAGTAATACGTATAGGGGCAAACGCAAACCCCCAACGTTAGCGTTAACGTAGCGTCGACGGAACGTTACGGAGCGCGTCGAATACGCACTTTCAGTAGAGCGGAAGAAGAACGCATACGTAAAGACTTGTAGCGCCTTCTAGATGTGCTCATGTAAACTGCTTCAAACAATCCAAGGCGGGTATTCGGTCAAGCCAATCCAAAGCCCCGATTCTCCTCGCTTTGTTACGGAAGTGCGTGTTTCCGTGTGCCTATTGTGTACGTGTTTTGTCTTTTTTTTTTTTGTACCGACCGCACGGTAAACACCTTTTTGGGTTTGACGGCGTCGCCAACGTTCTTGGCTATTGATACCCATCTTTGTGGGTGCTCGAAAGGGGTCGTCGCGTTGACTTCTTTAAGGAGGTTGATGTCATCTTCAATGGTAAAGCGAACCCGTACAATGCGCTTAGCACTTCCGCTGGTTTGCCTCACCGCCGCCATTTTTCAAACTGGACTAGTCTCGCGCTCTCCCGTGCGTGACGAGAGCAACGAGATGGCACGCAGGGGATCGCTACGTACGTTCGCAAAAATCGATAGCGAGCGTACGTACGCAAGGCTCGCCGCAGTACGTACGTATGGCGAATGCGCAGTGTGGAGGACGCAACGTTAACGTTAACGTATGGGGTCTGCGTTTACTCCTATACGTATTACTAAAACTGTCTAATAAGTAAGGCACGTTACTTTTGCGGAACCTTTTTAATTATGAAGGAACACAATTTTTTTGTTGTTGTGACGTTACAGCAGTGGCTTAGGCGAGTGGGAGTTTGGAGTTCGAACCCCCCCCCCCCCCCCCCCCCCCCCGCTGTTGGGCCCGCTCGCTACCCCGCTCACGATAGTCGGTCTTGCACGAGGCACGGAGCAAAGGGGGAGTGCGGACTATCCCCAACTTCTATGCTTTCGGGAGGAATGTTTGTGGGATCGAAAATGCCCAAATAAATAACATATTCAATATTTCTTCATTCATGCTTATTTGATGGGATGCGGAACTTGATCTCAGGTATATAGAGAACGGATATTTCTAAACATTTGTGGGGTGAAAGGTGGCAATTTCAAGGCAAAATATAACAAACTACCCTCACTGAAATAGATAGTTGAATCAAACTAAGGTGGACATAATAAAATACACATATGGTGATAATATAAAACAATGTCGGTGATGTAAGAAATATTAAATGAATTGTAAAATAAATTGCACCGTAAGCAATGGGTGCGCTGCGCTCACGCACACCTTGTGTACTGATCAGAATAACGTGCTTTCGACTAGAAATTACCGCGAATAAAAAAGTAACTGACTATAGTCAGTTACAGGTTAAGAAGGTAGCGGCAAATGCCCCTCAAAGGGAGTCAGATATCCCTCCGCCACCTTTGCATCCAATAGCGTCCCACCG